CCCGCAGGCCCGGCGCCACTCACCGCCAGCGGTTAATGCCCACGGCGGAGGAGGCGGCGAACCAGGGGTCCAGGATATAGATGCAGCGGAGGGATGTGGCGTCGCGCAGCGCTTCCTGCAGCGCGGGGTTGTCGTGGAGCCGCAGCCCGCGGCGGAACCAGTGCACGGAGCGGCACAGGGACGGCGCGGGGCCCAGCGCGGCCGCCATCGCCGCCGCCGCCTCCTCCCACCGCCGCGGCCGCCGCGCGCCGCCCGCCACCGCCCCGCCCCGCCGCGTGATTGGCGCGCGCCACGGCAGCCAATCAGCGCGCTGGGCGGGGCGTGCGGGGGCCTGGGGCGCTCTGCTGCCCCCCAGCGGCCGCGGCACCCCCGCAAGGGCGATCCCAGCCGGAGCGGAGCCCGGGAGCCAACCCCGGCTTCCTGCAGCGGGATCGGCCGCCCCAAGTCCGTACGTGCAACGTTAAAAATTAAAAATGTTTCAAGGACCCTCAATGGCGGCCTGCATCAAAAAGGTACCTGTGGTCATGAAACCTGGCACCCTCCCAAATTAAACGGGAACCTATTCTGGGCAGAAATGGAGTGGTTTTCTGTAGATGTGGCTAGACATCACTCTCGGGGCATGGTACATCATGTAGTATCCATGGGGCAGGGTATAAAGCAATGGCATGGATTGCCCAGGATCACTATCCAAATAACTCCTTATGTTTAAAGGGGCCAGGGATTTAGAAAGCTGGTGCATCGCAGCTCACAACAGGGTGTTGCTGTTGTTGACCCCTGGGATCAGAAATCGCAGCACAGAGTATTGCATAGGGCCAGATGTCAGAGGCAGAGATTTCTGCAGAACTAACTGTTCAGCAGCAAGTTCCAAGCAAAGGGATCAATGCCATTGAGCAAACCTAGAATTTTTTCTGAGTTGAAGGATTCACTGAGCTGGCCATGGGGTGTTTAAAAGGAACAAACCAAAAGATAAACTGCAAACACCAGAGGAGATGCAAAATATATATGGAACAAGTCTCCTGAAACAAGTCTAAATAGTAACCCATTTTCAAACACAAACTTACCCCTTACACAGAGGGTAAAGAGAAGTGTTGTGAACTCTGTGAAGCGGGATCCCCTCTCTAGAGCAGCAAGTGCTTCAGAGTAACTTTTCCCCTCCTGCCTGTCACAGAGAGACACAGAAGCCAAACTCACTCCTCCATGAGAAAGTCCACTGGAGTGAGCCTGCTCTCCCTCAAGGGACACACTGCAGATGGAATGAGAAGTTTAATTCCTGAGTCTTAGCATGCTTCCCCGAACTGAGATATCAGATGTAGAGCAACACAGAAAAAAAACCTCAGAAGGATGTGATACTGACTTGCTGGAAAGATTTGGAGGCACTGCTGTTGCTTAGACTTGTACATAGCCAGAAGGAAAGAATTTTCACCCTCTGCACTGAATGGGGCAACAGGAAGAACGGCTGTTGCAAAAACCTTTTACAGCAGAACAGTTTACTGGAGTCAAACCCAAACAGTCTAGCTACTTGCTTCTTCCTTACCCGGAGGTTCAGGACTTTATAACTTCAGACTGCATTCATTCAGCTAATTCTAGATTCCTAACTACACAAAGCTCCCACCCCAGTCTTTGTCTGCTAGGAACCCACGCCCCCCCCCCCCAAGATGCAAATTTCCCAGATTAGGTCAATAGCAACATCCATTTTAAAAAACAATCACAAAAAAACCCAATTGATCTCTACAACACATGCTCTCCACAACTCGGATAGGTGTGAGATCCCCCACAGATAAAACATGATCCAATCAGGTCTTTGGCTCCAGTTCCTGACACAGTTCCCCATACACTTTGCAGGTGAATTTTTTCCTGATCCTTGCTCTTCTTCTCTCCAGGAGGCAATGAGCACCAAAGGTTATCCCCCCAGGCACAGAAATGGCAGTGCAGGAGCTACCTACACACCAGTCTCATTTCTTTCACCACTTTTGACATTAGGATCCTCTTGCACCTTTCTCATCTCCAGTCCTTTCACCCATGTGTAGGCAAAGGAGCCCCCCAAAACCATCAAGTTACTTGTCCACCACAGGAAGCTCTTTGTTTCCTCAAAGTAGATAACAGCCAGCACTGTTTGGGCACAGGCCTTGGCTGTCCCAGACACATTGTGGGTGAGTGGGCTAGTGAACTTAATCTGAAGTCCAGTCACATACCCAATGGCAAAGCCAAACACTCCCCCCAGGGTCATCACACCCCAAAAACTGGGGCTCCCCAGTTTGTCAAAGTGGTAGAGCGTGCGGAACTCGCCCAGCAGCATCATGAGGGGGAAGAACAGTACACAAGCATTGACATTGTTGTAGAAGGTCAGGCGCCAGATGCTACCATCCACCACAGGCAGCACCTTCTTGGTGTAGATGGCATTGAGAGAGACACACAGGCTTGCTAGGATCCCAAAGAATATACCCGTCCATGATAGCGTGCCCTCTGCTCCTTCTTGGTCAACACCCAGCCAGAAGCCACCTGCAACCAAACAAATCAGACATCACCTGAAAAACCTGCTGAAAGGCTCAAAACATAGTTAGAAATTAATCATCTACTTTTTACTGAACACCCACAACTACAAACAGACAGGCTTAAGGGTTTTTCCCCTTTCTATTAAGTGAACCCAAAAATGTCATGACTAGTGTCCTGGGAAGATTTATTTTGGGAGCGTGGGTAATTTACTGTGCGGGTAACTCAATCTCAGAGGACTAATTCCCACACTGAGCAGGCAGCACTAGTTCAGAAACTATTATTCCAGCTAGTCTTTGCACATAGGTAATTTTCAGGAGACTGTATGATTATTTTTTAATTGAAAAGACAGCAAACACACATGGGTAGAAAAATATTCTTCAAGGTTTTGGGGGAAAAAAAGCCTCACAGGCTTTGCTGTTAACAGGAAGGAAAAGGTCAGAAAAGAGGGAAAGAAAGTAATATTAAGAACCATGGTTGAGAAAAGATCACAAGGCAGAAACTGCATGCAGTATCTTCAACACATTAAACTTTGATGGGTAATGAACTCTTCAACCACCTCCAAAACAGGAGCTACAGGCTCTGTGTCTCCTTATCCAGCTCATAAGCAAAACATAAAAGGGAGATGAGCTACTGAAGGAGAACTGCACCTCGTTTTCATAAGTTGCTTCATGTTGGAGTTTGTCTGGCAAGTTACCTGCAAAGCAGCCAACATGCTTTAATCTAAGCCCAAATACAAAAGGGTTCAACGCACTGACAGGAAGGGCTTTGTGTCAGGTCACGGAGGATGCTCAGCTGTGCTGCTTCAGGCATACTGTCAATGCTCTCACAGCAAAAGGAGACAGAGCCAGGGGGACAGAGCCTTAGAAAAACCCTGTAAGGCTGGCAGACACCACACTCCTGGTGCAGTACCTGAACAAAAGATTAGCTAAAGCAATTTTGGGTGGAAAAAAAAGAGTAGCTCTGTTCCTGTTCAGCTATTCTATGGAGATGAGATTTCTCTCATTTTAACCTGAATCCATCTACTCGTCTAAGCACCAAAGTGAACACAGGCTCACCTGGAACCAGACTGAAATAAACATTCCACCATTCTTGGCATCTAAATGACCCTCCAGTGGAAGGCAGCTTTTGGCATTCCCAGTGCCTTTGGAATTAAAGACTTGTAAGCATCCCTGTTAAGCCAGTCAATGCCTGGCCCTACATCCTAACCACACAACCAGATCTTCTGGTGGTGTTTTACATTTGGCGTGATCGGCTAACCCTTCATCACATGCATTCAGCCTGTCTGAACCGGCTGCCTCCATTGCACGGGCCCTGTGGTGCTGACATAAATGTTATTGTTACCAAAGTTAATAATGAACGAGCACTTGGGAACGGGGAGAAAGCCACCTGCTGTTTTATGGCCTATATGGGGGGGAAAAGAAAAAAGATAGGGCAAGTAAAGCATCATTAGAGGCAGATAGGTTTTACTGCTCAAAGGAAAAAGGAAGCCATGGTCAAGTAAGGGTAATTTCCTCTCTTAATGAGTTATCTACATCCTCCAGACATATAAAACGAGTTGCCAGAGGCAGAGCAATGCAAAAGCCCTGAGCTACCCCACCTCACCAGGGAGCTGCCATGCAGGTGGGGATGACTTCCCAAGGGAAAGACACTCCACTTCTGTCTCTCTGGGGCTGCTGGCTGCGGGATGGGTGCAGCCACTCCTGTTCTCCCTCACCTATGATGACTCCGCAGGCCAGGAGGGCGTAGAGGGAGGTGGTCTGCTTGAGGAGCAGGTAAGAGAGCAGCACGTTGAAGACGGTGGTGAGGGAGCGCCCCACGTTGTAGAAGGCCACGCCGACGTGCTTGAGGCAGAGGTTGTTGGAGGTGACCATGCCGATGAAGACGGCGGAGAGGGGCAGGACGCTGCGGGACACCTTGGGGTCGAGGCGGAGGGTGGGCAGGCCGGAGCAGGGGGGCCCGCAGGCCGCCCCCAAGCTGAGGCCGAAACAGAGGGCGGCCGTCAGGGCGCACTGGAAGAAGGTGACGAAGAGGGGGGCGTCGAGGCGTAGTGAGGGGCTGTCCAGCAGGTACTTGTTGAGGAAGACCATGGCGATGGAGGTGAACCAGTAAAGACAGACCACCACGGCGATGCGCAGCGCCCGCAGCAGGAAGGGCGCCCGCCGGCCCCCGCCGCCCTCCGCCGGCAGCAGCGGGTCGGCGGCGCCGCCGCCCAGCGCCATCCGCAGGATCCCCGTCCGCGTCAGCTGCGCCTTGCTCATGGCGGGCCGAGCCGCCCGGCCGCGGCCCGGCCTCCCCCCGCTACCAGCCCCGCTCACCCGGCTCCGCAGCCGGCCCCGAGCCTCCCAGAGCGCCACCGCCCGGCCCGCCGCCCTTTATTCACGCCCCGCGGGCGCCGCTCGGCGCCTCCCCGGCCGCGGCGCCATTTCGAGGGAGGGCCCGGCCCGGCCCCCGCCGCCCCGCTCCGCCCCGGGCATGTCGTGGGGATGTCGTGAAACGTGGCATGTGTAGAAATGTTCTTCAGAAAGGATGCTCTTTCATCTTTGGTGTTTGTATACTTCCAAGCCTAATCGACAAGAAAGGAGATTTAATCCGTGAAACAGATAGCAGCGAACAAGTAAATTCTAATTGATGTTCAGGTATTAGAAAGACAAATTGCTTGTCGGTAGAATTGCCTTGTTAAGGCTTAGGGCTCGACGTATTTCCGTGATAGCAGACCTAGGGGCAGGTTAACAAAGCTTGGGAAGAAGGACGTACCACACAAATAATGAAGAATTTACGGGCCACAATGACATTTGTCAGAACCCCCAAGATAAGGAAGAAATGAACAAAGCCCAGAAACTGCTGAATCAGCTCCGACGGGGTAAAAGGTAATTCCGGCAGGGGGAGACCGCGACCACCGACTCACGGACCACCGGCTCGAGAAACTCACCGACCCCAATGAAGAGAAAGACTGAGCATGCAGACTAATTAGCATTAACCAACAGAGGATAGAACGCTAATTAATAAAAAACTAGGTAACCCTTGTAGCCAAGGAACCACTTTTGTTCAATAGCAAACAATGCCTTTGTTTGCTAAAATGTATAAATAGTGTAAAGTTTTCGTAGAGATAGTGCTGGCTTTGTGGATTTGCCACCTAAGCACCCCTTCTTGCGCAGGACTGGAAATCAATCAGATACCTCGACTCCGTGTGTGGATTGGCCTCTTGCATACTGGGTGAAAGAATCTACTTTGGGACAACAGGGCAGGCAGCAAACTAGGGCAGTTTAGCGAGGAGCAGTCCCCTGAGTGCAGTCCCCAGTCACACCGCTCAGCCAGGAGCGAGAGGCTCCCTGCGGAGCCACTGGGAAAGGGCTGGTGCCCTCATGGTCCTTAATGGTGACCAGCACTGTGTCCAAGCTAGGCAGTGGGCAGCAGGAGGGGACTGGTAGTGATCCCATTGTTGAGAACAACACTGCTCTGCTGGTTTGTGTCAGTGTCCTTTGTATGCTGGTTGGAGCAAGTGGGATCTGGATGTTGGACACGCACTGATTTGCTAACACAGGTTTTGTCCACAGCCCACACAAAGCACAAGTCTGTGCTCTGCTGCTTAAGCCTTCTGTAAAGAAATAAGGTTTGCATTTTTAAGGTAAATAAAACCTTCCCCATACGATCTAAATGAAGTAGGCATGATAACATTGTGCAAACAGCTCATGAGGTCAGCACAGGGAAGTGCTGGCTGCCTAGTTCCCCTTCCTGTAGTGACAACTTTTACAAATCTAACCAGGAGAACGTCTCTGCCAATGCCACTGACCTCTCTGGTGCGTCCAGTGCTGAACTCTGCACTACCCAGCTACATTGTAAGCAATACAGGGGCTAACTACTTTCCAGGTATCCTGAGTATTGGGGTGAGCTGCACACATTCTCAAGCTAAAGCAGCTACCCCATAGTCCCACATCATCATTCCAGATATAAAAGGCTCATCTGCCCATACTCACATGTCAAAATGTCCCACCTTCTCTTAATGGTGCTTTATAATAAAGGAGCCTTTTCAGTACCAAACTCTAGAATTCAAACTGCTGGACAGGATGAAATAAATTAAAAGTAATGCCAGGTTCCATGTGGTGGGGGAGGCAGCAGTGAGCTCTGTGTTGAACATTGGTCAGTATGATCCCCCACTCCTTATTTCAGCTGAGACTGCTGCAAAGTGTCTGATCTGCAATGTCCTGGGGCCCAGCAATTTGCAGGGGACACAATTAAGAGGATTTTGGAGGCAAGGCCAGCAGCTTTAATTGCCCCTGTAGCAGCCTGTGCTCTTACATTTGTGAAGGACAGAAAAATGTGGGGAGAAAAATGATGTATTTAATTAGACCAATTGATGTGGCTGGAAAATGTTTCAGGCATAACATACTTTTCTCAAATCTCTGAAGTCACAATTGATTTTTTTTCTCCCGGCTTCATCGGTTGGTTTAGTAAAAGATGTTGCCTTTCCTCAGAGCCCCTCCCTTTTAAACAGCATCTGGGTGCTGATGAGAATCGCGTTTCCTCTGGAAACTCAGTGCCTGTGTGCTTGCTTTGGATTGCCCAAATGCTCAGGGTGCTGGAGACTTCTGTGTGCATGCTGAGCACTATCTCTCACCCTTGCAGCTTGTGATGGGTACCTGGTAGAGCCCTTGCAACCCCGAGTGAGTTTTGCGTGCTCACCTCACCAACCTGCCCTCTCTGCCTGCCTGCACAGCTGGGAATACTGGTACGCATGGTGCTAGCCTGAGCTCACACAGGGCATAAAATCCTGTAGATGCAGGCCTGCAGCTCCTGCCATGGAAACAGAAGAGATCATGACTCTGCAGAGGGGCTGGCATTCAGGCAGGGAAAGCTGCTATTGAAATGACCAACTGGCCATGACCAACTATCTCAGCTGTGCTTTGATTCCACGGGGAGAAGTGCAGATAGCACTTATTCCTCACGAACTTCCTATCCTCTTTCCCTTCTCATCAACCATCTTCCAGTGCCTGGCCCAGCACTCCTCCCATAAATGCCACTGGTCAGGGAAGAAAAGAAAGCAAATAGCCTGGGTGTGGGGCACTGGGTTGGTTCTGGAGGTCGTCATGGCCTGTTACCCATATCTGTGGCTTCAGCATCACACATTTGTCTTGAATTTCAAGGAAATGACCTCTCCTGCCACTAACATTGCAAGAATCACAGTGCCTCTGGCAGAATCAGAGCCAGATATAGATATTTTTTTCCCCTCTCTGCCACTCACTAGTATTCAGAGTGCCTTCTCTAAACTAAACACGGAAGTTGGAGCAGTCCTCAGACCTAGTCCTCAGTTCCATCTTGTCCACTCATTCAGCGCACAGAAGGTTGCTTTGTCTTGCAGAAGTTTGAAATATCCCAATCAATAAAATGTTCATTGCTTCTCCTGGGGGATTATTCTACAGCCTTATCACACATGTATGACACGTCGGCGTGGGAGAATTGACCAGAATAGCTCTCTCAGCTCTGCCAATATAACTCCCTGGTGCTGACAGTGTATTCCAAAATAAAAGTGATTTATTCTTGAATAATCAGATAGTTCTGTGATAGTTGTGCTGGTCAATCTCCCTAGGCAAAGCTTTTCTACAGCATGGTTGTGACAAGTGTTTTGAATAAAGGCTTTCCAAGGTACAAAAACTGACTGGCAGAGTTACTCTGCATAGCTGTGTCTGCCTACCTACTTCATAAAGATCTTTGCTTTGGGGGAAAGGTGTTTTAACGTTTTAGGTGATTTAGAAATCTGAGAGTAAAGGTAGTAATGAACAGGTTATAATGCTAATTGAAGCTGTTGAGACAATGTAACCTGGCCTACTGTACAGCACCAGCGTTAGGCTTCCCTGAATTAACTCCTGCTTGAATTAAAGCTGATCTTTTATGAAAAAAATTTAATTTTGATTAAAAATACTTCCAGGGAGATTGAACTCCATAGGGCACTAGCAGTGTTATTCTGGTGGCCGGTTCTTTCCCAATAAATAGTTCACACTCCTTTTCATACTGGCATTGCCTGGTTCAAGTTTTCAACTTCTGGGTCTTATTACAACTTTGCTGGTTTTTTTTACAGGCAAGCGCTGGCAGGCAAATGAAGTTACCTTTTAACCTAGTTTTTGGAGAAGATAAATAACTTCCTTACAGAAGATGTTTATTATGCTACCACAGCAACGATTCACTTCCCTATGCAGATGAGACCTCGATGTTTTCCTGCCCTGCTGCTTGGTTGTGTATTAACATGATGGCACATATTGTAAGGAGCCAGCACAGGATTATTTCTGGCTTAGGAGTGTGCTGCTTCATGTTCCCTGAGTGCTTACAAAATAAACAATTTTCCCTAATGGAAGTCTGAGTCTGGAAAATAAGCAGCTTTGACAGGCTCCTCATGTTGGGAAATCTGGCTGGTAGTGTCCTTGCTTTCGTGTCGTGTGATGAGCCTGTGCTGCTGTTGGTGTCTGGAATGCCCCATACCCTGCCTGCTGCTTGCATGCACATGCACATACATGCCCTCCTGTATCTTATTTAATCCTTTCCTACGTGAACAGAAAACCTTCTAAAATATGACAGGTGCTGTTCATCCAAGGGGAGAGTTCTCCCCTTCCCACTTAAATTAGGTGGCCTACTTGAAAGTATCAGCTGATAAACAGTGCTCAGCTGATAAAACAGCAATAGGCTTTGGGATGTACATCAAACCCAGTGGTGAGACAGCATAAATTGCATTTCCTGGTCACACAAGAGAGCTGGACATATTGACCAGTGTGTTATTGTAGGCATAGGCCCTCTGTAAGTCATGTAGAATAGCAAATGAAGCAGCAGAAAACTTGCCAATTTTGTTTCTGGGTCTTTAGGAAGAGGCCTTTGGAGTTAGAAATAGGACTCATTCTACTACATGGAATGGGATGTGGGAAGAAATCAGCTCAGCAGTGAGATCATTCCAGAATTTATTGTTCCTTGCAAGTATAGGTATCTGATTTCCAGTTAATACAAGCATCCTTGATGCTAACATTTATAAAGTATGGAGCTTACAAGTCAAGACATCAATCTAGCTTTATATATGTATAGACACACACATATATACAAATATATATGTAAGTATATCTGTACGTATGCATATGCGTGTGTGTGTGTATGCTCAGATTACATACAGGCAGTGTGTTGCCACAGCAATGTCCAAGCAGGGACCAACAACCCAGGAAGGTTCACCTGTGACAGAAGTATTACTTTACAGAACCTAGTGGTTGGTGATTCCTCTGGTTTGCTGTGTACCCCAGCAAAATTAGCCTGAGCTTTCAAGGTTTCAAGTTTGAACTGAAGATATTGCCTAATAACAACAGCTGTCACATCATTATTTAGTGTTTGCTGATAATCAATACCTGAGAAGAAGGCCAATGCAAAATCTAAGCCTGATTTATCAGCGCAGAATAGCTGAATCAGGTCTCTCTGCTAGGGTAGTAAACATAAATCAGGGGGAGAGAATAGAGTAATCTCTCAGTATTGTCCTCAAACAACACCTGTTTCTAGTACTGGTGTTTCCTATTACAATACAGCATCTTTCCAAACTCC